CTCTCCTTCTCCTTTCCTCTCAATCTTCAACCTTCTTTCTCCATTTTTCCTCCACTTTTTTTAATTCTCTTTCCAATATTGAGAAAGCCATTTTGCCCGGCAAAAACCAGCCAACTATTAAGACCACTAAAAAGCTATTCCTAAAATTAAACGTCAAAATTTTTTTCGCCAAAAATAGTAAAGAAGCGGTAGAACAATCAGTAATGTTAATCAAGAAATAATTAGTGTCATAAATTGTTTTAACCTTTATTTTTTTCCAGAAAATTAGTGATAATCAAAATAATTTCTTTTACTGAATAATCAGGGAAATTTTTTCGCACTTGCCCAAGTAGATAATTTTGAACTTTTTGCCGGTTAACACTAATCATTTGTGACAATTCATCGCTCCATAAGTTTCGTAATTCCTTTTCTATCAAGTTTTCATTAACCGCAACTTTTTTTTCATATTTTTTCACGAGCAAGGCAAAGGTTTTTTTGGTTTCGGTTAGCTCTTTAATTATCAACTTTATTTCCTCGTTATCTAACTTTTTTTCCTTTCAGTAGCAAAAAAGTTCTCAGTAAGATTGTCATTTTTTACTAAATAAATCAACCTCTCCATCCCCAATATTAGCAGTTAAGTAATTAAGATAAAAAGTCAACCAACCCTTATATTCTTCTTTCACCAAAAATTTTTTCTTTTCCAAGACATTAAATATTTTTAATAAAGGAGGGTTTTTGAGAAGTTTATTGGCGGTTTCCAGGTCTATTTCTTTTAATTCCTCTCAATAATTTCAAGGCAATTTTGGAAGATTTTTCCTTATTTTTTGGATTTCGGAACTGGTTAATTTAATCGGGGGGATATTAACTTCCGGCAAGTAATAATAACTAGTCTTTTCCCGGTGAATAATAGTGACTTGTTTGTTTTCGTCAAAGCCTAGTGTTTGACTGATGGGGGGGGGTTTGCCCCTGGGAAAATAATAATCGGTGTTTGTCAATTTCATATTTCAACGCCCTTTCAATATTAGCCAGCGCATTAAGATTTTTGATTCCATAACCCGGCGTACCATAATTATCACCTAATTGCAGAGAAAAATTTAAATCAACTCGTAACTGTCCTTGCTCCAGTTTGGCTTGGGAAATACCTAAATAGCGGAGCAGATTTTGTAATTGCTTAATAAATATTAAAACGGTTTCAACTTGCTGAAAAACTGGCTCAGTAACTAATTCAATTAAAGGATTACCAGCGCGATTAAAATCTAATTTAATTTCTGCCTGCGAATAAGTACTTTTGGCGGTATCTTCTTCTAATTGCAGAATTTTTACTGGTACTTTTTTAATTTCATTCGCGGCGATAATTGGTAGATAACCAGAATTCGCAAAAGGCAGTTCTTGTTGGGTAATTTGATAACCTTTTGGCAAATCAAAATAATTGTAAATTTTCCGGTCAAAAAGAATAGTAGGACTGATTTTCATTTTTAAAGCGGCGGCTAATTTCAAGCCTAACTGAATAACTTCCGGATTAATTATCGGTAAAACTCCTAAATAACCTAATTCCCAAGGTCCAACTTGGCTATTGGGAGGAATATCGCCTTGATAAGTATTTTCTCAGTTAAAGATTTTTTTTTGACTATTAACGGTAATGTGGACTTCTAAACCGAGCAAAATTTTTGTTGATTGGTCCCAATTCATATATCCTTAATTTTATTAAATTTTCAACCTCAAAACCTAAGTAATTCAACTGGTTTTTTTTCTAGAAATTAGTTCGTAATTTATTATTATTTAGGTGGAATTTCTATTTGAGTTTGTTGTTCATTTTTAAGAATTCAAAAATGTTCTTTTCCTGATAGCCCAACACTAAGTATTGTTAGATATTCTGCCTTGGGAAGATTTACTGTCATTACTTTTTCTTGTTGTTGATTATATTCTGCGATTT